CTTTCTTTCTTTCTTTCTTTCTTTCTTTCTTTCTTTCTTTCTTTCTTTCTTTCTTTCTTTCTTTCTTTCTATATATCAAATTTGTCACCACCCATATTGTTGAAATGACTCTGGGCGGTTTACAGCAGAGATAAAATTCATTAAAATATAATATAAAAACAATCCTAATAATAGATAGCCTTCAAGAAAGATGGAAAGTTGGCAGATAACTCAGGAAGCATGGTCAGGGTGCTTTTTCTCGACTTTTTTGCACATACCCTGCAGACAGTCCTGGTTAGAGTTAAGGACTGGCACTAAATCCAGTCTCTTCTGATCCTGGGTTTTGAGCTGTAGATGTGGGCAGCAATGGGGAGAAGGCATTACATGATTAAAACATCATCATGGCTTGTAGCATATGGCTATGACTGTAAACTCTGTCTACTATGCAGATGTTTAAATTTAGAAACAGTTGCCAAGGTTCAGAGCATTCAGAAAGGAAAATGCATTTATGATTTCGGATCTGCTTCTAGGCATAGCCCTGTTCCATTCCTTTTTCTTCCCTTTATTTCAAATGCTGGTGTAAATTATCCTGTAGAGGCAATTAATATCATTCTCATATGCAGAGATGGAATGAAAAAAAATTACTTGCTTCTCTAATGCTTTGATTATCTGAATCCAGATTGTAATGTTCTCTCCACTCAGACAGAAACCAAGAGGCCCACTTTAAAATTAGATTGGCACCCTCCCCTATTACATCTTTCTTCTTTAGTTGTTTGCTGAGACAGATTCACCATTTGTCACTCAGAAGTAATGAAACAAGTGCTAAGACTTCTGTTTAGAGAAGAACGGCTTCCTCATTTCATTGAGCTCTTCTCCATAATAAGTCTTGCATTGGGTGGCTCTGAGTTGGGGGGAAGACTACATCTGCTTCCAGGCAGAGTTTGTATGGCACCCTGTGGAGCACAGCAACACTCTGAAGAAGGACACTAAAGTTCAGAGTGAATTAAATGGCCTCCAGATGGACTCATTACACTCCCAGACCCCCAATTTGACTATAACTTGGTTTCTATGTCATGCTAACCTATGGTTTGCTTAAGCATAACTTACTGAATAAAATGGTTGGTTTCTAATAACATACTAACACATAAACCATGGTTTACAAACAGTATGAGATGGGTTGCAATAAGAGGGGTGTATTTGCATATGCACATGTACTCATACACAGGCTTAGCCAAGTGATTCAAGGTCATCTAGTCTGATTACAGCCATCAAACCAATACGATCTTCATTTTGAAGCTTCAACTTCAAGGAATGATTCAGCCGAGCCGCCTTTGAACTGAATCTTTGAACTGAATATCTGCACAGCCCTAGCTGATCCAGGAAATCATAACACCATGGGTCTGGACAAAAGCTTTTGAGAGCCTGCTTGTGGAACACAAGTCAGACTTAGCCCACTTTAACATGCCGTCTGTTCAACAGGGAGATATTGAACAGACGGCATGTCATGCAAGTCCAGAGCAATGCAAAGGGCAGCTATGCATGGACCGTACCTTTCATTGCTGTCTAACAGAGGTGGTACCAGGCCTCAGTGGCTCTGTTGGCCTTACCAAGATTCCTCCAGGGAACAGACCTACTTAAAACTTGTGAAAAATGGTATCCCATCCGCCAACTGCTGAATCAAGTCCAGTGCATGATAAGCTGCTAGAATCAGGTAGAAATTATTTCTCACTCACTTGTCTGCTTACTTGAAGCTTCTTTTCCCACTGATCAAATTCTTGCATTGATTCACTAACACTGGAATAATTAGTGGCGTTGGCCAACACAGCAAGCAAGATAACCTTTCAGGATGGTTAAATCAAGAACCTCTTTCCTTCACTTATGAATCTGAATAGCATAATAGATCATATTTTATGTGGTATTACCAAGATATGCTCAACCAATGCATTAGATCTGAAAGAGCAAGGAGGCCATCTGATACTGTATCTACTGTTAAGCCAATCAGCTAAACACATTCGATCTTTGTTGGTGGTGGTAGTGGTTTATTTTGTACATCAATGATGGAACAGGGAGGAATTTTTCCATGGTCTGACAGCACAACTGGGATTACTATAGGTTTGGTGCAGCTATTTCATCAGTAACTCTTCTACAGTTGCATTACGACTTCTTTAACTCTGATATAAAGGCTGAGTCATGGTTGCGATGGGTCGTGCTGAAGCATCTGTCATGCTTAACTGACCATTCCTTGACCACTTGAAACAAAACAAAAATAGATCCGCTCCAATAGGCTATGCAAAAGAGAGATCTCCCACGCTCACCCATCTGCACTGATGCACCAACCATCCTGAGAACCTTCCTCGCAATCTAGTCCAACCACTTGCATGAAGATAGTGACAGTGTTTTCAACCCAGCGTGTTTAAAAGAGTTACGAAACAGATACGATCCATATGGAAAACACTAGGCAGAAAGGTAAAATCTCTCTGCCAAATATAAAGCACTGAGGGTCCTTTGTATGCAACTCAAACTGCCCCCACCTGCATGCCATGTAGATGTTTTTCAGACCTTTGCACACATCATCTGGCACTTGTTTTGTCAGACCTACGAGCTAATCAGCACTAATCAACTGTACACTGCTCGCAGCAGTCGCAACCGATTCGAACGCCTCCTTCTTTCCCCAAGGCATGACATTGTCATCTCTATTCAAGCCATCAGCCCAGACAAAAATGCCATTAGCTTTCACAGTGACCTTTTCCCTGGGAGCACGAAAGTGGCAATTACCGTCAATGAGCCACCCAAGGGAATGTGTACCACAGATAAGGGAAAGGTTTGTCCCCTTCCTAGGAGAGCGAGGGGTAAACATTTGTAATAAGGGAATAGGTTTGGCAGTGCAAGAAATACTCACTACTTTGCTCTTCAGAGTTGTGGCACGGATTCATAGGTGATGGAATCATCAGGAGGATTGCAACAAGGTTTATGGCGTGCACTTAAAATTGAGCCTCCATAGGCAGAACGTCTAGCGATGCAATCGTGAATGTGTCTTTTCAGAAGTCAGTCCTACTGGGTTCAAAGGCGCTATCTCAGCAGTGAGTGAGCATAGAATTGGAGCTGGAATACCAGTGTTCTTCTGGCAAATAGCATCTCCCTAGGGTCATAGTTCTCTGGAAAAGTTGGTGGAAACCTAGGGACAGTCTAGCAAAGCACTTCTAAAGTCCACTGCTTTCAAAAGAAGACTGTTTTAAGCATCTGTACAACTCTCATGTTGACTGAGATGGTGATGGACACGTAGGACATCACCCAACATCACTGCTAAGCAGGAGTTTAAGTCCACACCTTCTCCCCATTAGATACTACAGATATCTTAATTGTCCAGCAACTCTGGAATTTGAGGTATCACAAAGAGGATTCAACATTGTACCCTCCATTAAGATGCACTGGGGCAACTGATCGACTGTATACACAGTTGACAAGTCGTATGATACTTACACAATCTTCTGTTTATGGTAGTTAAAAGGCAGAAGCTCTCCACCACTTTGATACCTTCACTGTAAAGTCTAAGGGTGATTGTTTGTACCTCCTGTCATTAGTTTCTTTATATTTAAATTTAGTCCTTTTTTTTTTTCTCTTTGCCTCACCAGCCCGACTAAATGTTCTCCATTTAGCTTTGTCATTTTTGGGGAGAAGGAAGGCCTACCTTATCTTTTCTATTTTCCACAAAGGGCCTCAGACTGAGAAGCTTTATTGTAAGGCAATGTTGTCCAAACTTGGCCACTTTAAGATGAGTGGACTTCAACTCCCAACATGGCTGGCTGGGGAATTCTG